GTATTATTTTTATGTGTACCATCAAATCGGATCTGACTGGTACAGGAGGAGATTGCCTCCTCCTTCTCCAGCAGAGCATCTGGTGGATTTGAGCCACACACCTCTGGGATTACAGTGCAGCGTCTTGCCACTAGGCCACCAGTGCTCCCTTGGGTTCACATTTCAACCCCCTACACACAAGGCCACTGTAGCTCCCACAATTCAAAGACATCTGTTGTTCTTTAGTCTTCCTGATTCACCATCCAACTTTCAGGTATAACCTCAGCAATTGAAAATAAAAAATAAAGTTGAAAATACCATGGTTTGGATCACATGCATCTTAGTTTTTACAATGGCAATCTTGAATGTTTTTTCCTTCACTTTCTTCAGCTTGAGAAGTGCAGAATGCATTCTACATGTTGGTTTTCTAACTCCAGTTCTTTGCACATTTTGTTACAAGATACAGTGTTCAAGATATGTTATCTTGAGCTACCCTTCTAATCTGTTCAACTCTCATAATTTCTGTTTAGCTTTTGTATACTCGAGCAAGTTTCAGAGTCTTACCTGAGATCTATTTTAATGTTTTCTTTGTTTCATGACATTTTACTTACTCCACGTGTGATATTTTTTTTATCACCACACAATTCATCTCTAGTAATTAGTGTTCATTGCATCATCAGATATGTTCTTGAGATGATTTTTATTTATTTTTTTAGGTGATTTTTAAAGTGTTGTTGGTAGGTGCCTTCGAGTAGAGTATGAATGGTTCTGAACCCTGTTCTATCTTGTGCCATCCTCAACATCTCTCACTCACTTGAGCCCATTTCAGCAGTCACTGTGTCAATCCCTCTGGTGGAGTGTCTTCCTCTCTGTGACCCTCCACCTTTCCAAGCATGATGTCCCTCTCCAAGGAATAGTCTCTTCTTAGCACCATGTCCAAAGTATGTGAGACAAAGCTTTGTCCTCTTTGCCTCCAAGGAGCACTCTGGCTGTACTTTCTCCAAGATGTAATATGTTTGCTTGAAATGAAATAATTTTTAAATTGAGATGGGATAAATTCAAGTTCTTAGTTTAGCTCTTGTGAACTTTTCATTTTCTTCAGCTTCAGTGTGAACTTGAGTGTGAGTGGAAGTCTAGGTAGGTCTGGATTTCTCTCACACCATGTATGTTACAGACCGAGGGTAAAGTATTTTTAAAATTATTAATAATGAGACAGACAACCAGGAATGAGATAAAACAACATAAAAGACAGGGGGCCAGCAGTTCCAAAGACTGAAGAGCTTCAAGCCACATTTCTCTGTGTATTTACTGAGAATAAGGGGAAGCAAATCATAAAAAGATTTCTCTTGTAGTTGAAGCCAAATTTTTCTCTATTGTCAACCTAATGCTTTAGTTCAGGAAGGAAGTATTTCACAGGTATTAATTCTCCCTCTGTAGGGGGCCCTAGCTGTCTCTTGTCTGCAGGGAACAGCTCATTTTCTGTGATCTGTCACAAGAGAAATCCTAACTTATAAATTTGTAATTCCTTCAATTCCTGAACTAGCATATGGCTTTTCATAAAATATTTGGTATGAAATTTGGCTTCCCATAATATGTCCAAACATATTCTATTAGGATTCTTCAAAATATACCGCTTTTCCCCTCGCACAGCCACTTTGCTTGTGGCCACTTGGCATTACTGTGATAATGTACTAATTTACATAATATATAATACATAAAATATATAATAATATAACATAAATTTATAATTTATATAATTTATGAAATTGTACCACTTTCCTCCCGCTGACCATCCTCCCTGGTACCATAATCACAGGACAGTGGACAGTGGGACACTGTTTATACATGCCTCCCGGAAATCCCACCATGACCTCCATCATAAAATACCAACCAACAGCCTTCCTGTGGTCGGCCAGATCCCAGAGGATGTGACAGCCCCCAGTCCTCCATGTCCCCACAGCACTCGCTGACACTTGGATGCTTTGCTCCCTCACCTTCGAAGATTTGATTCAAACACCAGTAAAACCCTCACCGTGTTTAAAATCATGACCCCTCTCCCTTACACTTGCCACTTTCCCTTTACCACTAACATACGTTTATGCTTTTCCTTGTTGTTGTTGTTATGTGCCATCGAGTCGTTTCCGACTCATAGCGACCCTATGCACAACAGCTCTAAACCCTGCTCTATCCTGCGCCAACCGCACCGCCTCTGACACACCCATCCCGATTACCCCAGTCACCGAATCAATCCATCTCATAGAGGGTCTTCCCCTCCTGCGCTGTCCCTCCACCCTCCCAAGCATGATGTCCCTCTCCAAGGACCCGTCCCTCCTGGCAACATGTCCAAAGTATGTCAGACGAAGCCCCAGAATCCTTGCCTCCAAGGAGCAGCTTGGTTTAATCCTCTCCAAGATGGATCTGTTTGTTTTCCTGGCAGTCCAGAGTACATTCAGTACCCTTCTCCAGCACCACAGCTCAAAAGCATCCACTCTCCTTCTGTCCTCCCTAGTCATTGTCCAACTCTCTGATGCATAACAAGCGATTGCAAATACCATGACCTGTATCAGGTGCACCTTAGTCTCCAGAGAGACACTGTTGCTCCTGAGTACCTTTGAGAGGTCCCTAACGGCAGACTTTTCCATCGCGATACGCTTTTTGATTTCCTGACTGCTGGTACCAAGAGTGTTGACTGTGGAGCCGAGCAAAGTGAAGCTGTGAACACTCTCAATCTCTTCGTCATCCATCCTGACGCTGCCAATTGGTCCAGTGGCGAGAATCTTTGTCTTCTTGACGTTGAGCCTTAGTCCATACTGAAGGCTGCAGTCCTTGACCCTTCGCAGCAAGTGCATGAGGTCCTCCTCAGTTTCAGCAAGCAAGGTTGTGTCATCTGCATAACGGAGATTGTTAATAGATCTTCCACCAATCCTGATGCCACAATTCTCCTCATAGAGCCCAGCCTCTCGAATTATCTGCTCTGCATACATGTTGAAAAGGTATGGAGACAGGATGCATCCCTGGCGTACACCCTTCCCTATTTTGAACCATGCAATGTTACCCTGCTCTGTTCTGACTACTGCCTCTTGGTCCAAGTATAGGTTTCGTATTAGCACAATTAAATGTTCTGGGATTCCCACTCTTCTCAGAGTCAGCCACAGTTTGTTATGATCCACACAGTCAAATGCCTTTGCATAATCAATAAAACACAGATAGACATTCTTCTGGTATTCCCTGCTTTCAGCCAAGATCCATCTAACATCAGCAACGATATCCCTAGTACCACGACCCCTTCTAAACCCAGCCTGGACTTCTGGCAGTTCTCTGCTGATGTGCTGTTCTAATCCTTTTTGGATGATCTTCAGCAGAATCTTGCTTGCATGTGAAATCAATGACACTGTTCTGTAGTTTCCACACTCAGTTGGGTCACCTTTCTTTGGAATGGGAACAAATATAGATCTCTTCCAGTCAGTTGGCCAAGTGGTTGTTCTCCAGATTTCTTGGCACAGCTTGGTGAGCACATCCAGGGCAACATCTGTTATCTGAAATACTTCAATTGGTATACCATCTATTCCTGGGGCTTTATTTTTTGCTATTTCCTTCAAAGCAGCTTGAACTTCTTCCTTCATCACCATAGGCTCTTGCTCATATGTTATTTCTTTAAATTCCTCTGTATCTGCCAATTCCTTTCTATATAATGACTCAGTATATTCCTTCCATCTTCTTTTAATACTTCCTGGATCATTTAATATTCTGCCCAAAGCATCCTTGATTACAGCAACTCTAGGTTTGAATCTGTTCTTCAGTTCCTTGAGCTTAAGAAATGCTGAGCGAGTTCGGCCCTTTTGATTTTCTGACTCTAGTTCCTCGCACATTTCATTGTAGTATTTTGCTTTGTCATTCCGAGCAGCCTTTTGGAATCTTCTGTTCAGCTCTTTAGTATCTTGAATTTTTAGTATCTTCCTTTTCCTTATGTGTTTGTTAATGCCCCCGGTGAGAATATAAAGCTCTAGGGAGACTGGATTGTCTATCATCGCTGTCTCCCTAGCGCTTCGGCAGTGTCCGCAGCGCTCACCGATCTTCGAGGAATGATTAAATGATGAACGAATGGGTGGGTGGAAAATTGACTTGACTTGGAGCAGATGAAGGGTAGGCCTTGAAGTGCCTGAGACTGGGGACCAATCCGGAACCGCGCTGGACTACAATTCCCAGCGGCCCCTTCACGGAACGGCGCTGAACTACAGTTCCCAGCGGCCCCGTCAGGCATACGCTCTGGACTACAGCTCCCAGCAGCACTCGCGGCTTCCGGTCGGCAAGATGGTGGCGCGCAGGAGAAAGCATGCTTCGCTGGAAGCTGAAGAACAGCTGCCCAGCCCGCCGGGCTACACAGGTGGGAGTTCGATCGAGCGCGGGTCGGGGCTTTACCCGGGCGAGCGTGGGGGGTCGGCAGACGAGGGAGGCCGTGCGGCCCGGAGGGAGTCGTGCGGCCCGTGGGCCCCAGGCGCCGAGCATCCCCTTTCCTGCCCACACACCGTCCGGGGCGATCGCCTCGCCAGCTCTCCTCCGCGAATGACCCCATCCTGGCCTTGCTTCCCCTGGACGGGCTTTTCCGCCGTCTGCGTTCCTCCGGGGCGAGCCCATCGCCGCCCCTGCCCCGCTGAACCCCCGGTGCGGCGCCGCCAGCTCCCACCCGGGCTGCTGCCCTATTCCCCAGCTCGTGGCTTTAGACCGCGTGTTTGGGCGGTTTCGTTCTGCAGAGGGTGGCAGAATGCCTCCTCTTCCTCCTCCCTGGCTCTAGCTGTTGGGCGTCTGTTTGAGTGACAGTTGTGTTAACAGGTCTTCCCCGTATGCGTAGGGTCGCAGCGCTCGCAGCATTGAGCCTGGTGACGGGTCTGCAGGGGTGTTTTTAACCACGACTGCAGCTCCACTCTTGAGCTTCTCTTTCCCGGCGTGGTGGATTCAGAGTGGCCACTTCCCGCCCGCCTTAGCTCGGTATTGCCTGGAGTGTCTGTCTGTATATGCGCGATTTCATATTTGACAACTTCTAGTTTTATCTTCTTACTGCGCACACTCCATGTTCCCTTTCTTAGTGGATGTTGGCAGCTCACTGCCCTCCTTTTGAGTGACTTCTTCCCACGTGAGCTCGAATAAGCTAGGCAGCCGTGTTCTGTTGTTCATCGGGTTTTCCAAGGCCGGCTCCTTCAGAAGCGAATGGCCGCTCCTGCTTCCTCCTCTGTCTTCGTCTGGGAGCGCTGCTGAAACCTGTGCACCATGGGTGATCCCGGTGGCATTTGACACACCCGTGTCATTGCTTCCAGCAGCATCACAGCAACGCACAGGATACCTCGGTGCAGCACCTGACAGATGAGTGCTGTACTGATGAGAGCAAACACAGCAAACGAGCATAGAGGCACCTAAGCTGTAAAACAGCTACCAACCTGCAAAACACTTCCCCCAGTTCACATACAGCAGCAAATAGAAACAGTCATGCCTACAAAATGTGCAGGACAGCCTTCACCGGCCTTGCTGGCGACCCTGGAGGCAACAGCATGATAGATGCGGGGAAGATTGACATTGTCAACAGTTTCATCTTGCTTGGATCCACAGTCAACACCCTTGGTACTAGCAGCCAGGAGATCAGGAAATACATCAGATCTGCAGTCAGGGACCTCTCCAAAGTCCTGGAGACCAATGATGTCAGTTAACAAACTAAGATGTCTCTCCAGTCACCTGAGAGCTGGATAGTGAATAAGGACGACAGAAGAAGAGGTGATCCCTTTGAGCTGTGCTGTTGGAGAAGAGTGCTGAACGAGAACGAACAGCTGTCTTGGAGAAGTTGCAGCCCTTGGAGTCCTTGGAGGCAAGGCTGGAGAAGCTTCACACTTTGGACATACTTCATACGTGTTACAGGGGCCATCATCCCTCAGCAGAGGCAATCAGGCTGGGGAAAGAGAGGGTCAGCGAACGAGGGGGAGACCTTCCGTGAGGTGCCTGGGCCCCGTGCCTGCAGCAGTGAGCTCCGGCGTGTCGGTTGATGGGGATGGCGCCGGATAGGACAGAGCTCAGTGGTTGTTCTTAGGGTTGCTCTGAGCTGTACTCGCCTTGACAGCAGCCCTTACCGCAGGGAGCGCTGGTGGCTCAGTGGTAAGGAGTTGTCCAGGTAACCCAGAGGTACCGGGTACAACTCCACAATCTGCTCTTAAAGGAGAGAGATGGACAGTGTCCTCTAACACGAGTTCCTGCCTCTGAGTCCCTGCTGGAGGGTCTGAGTTGGTTCTGTCAGCAGGATACAGTCCTAACTCTCCTGGTCGCGGCCTGTCGCTCTCCAGGCTGTATCATAGTCTGAGGTCACAGCTAGATCGTGACTCATACGCCCCGCTGAGGCCTTCACACCCACACGGCTCCGGCTCCTACAATTATGAGTTGGGTCCTAATAGAAAATGCAGGCTTCTTACTCCCGAGAGACGGAGGGCCTCACAGATGGTGTCTTGTGGCTGGGACTTCACTGTCCACTTGCCCTTGACTCGAAGGCAAACAACAACATTGTAAAATGAAGCTCCAGCTTCTCTGGCCCCCTTGCCGTCTGACCCAGGTCTCAGACTCCTTGCACCGGCCTTGTCCTTGTCCTTCCTCAAACAGCCCTGATCTTTCCCTCCCCGCCCCATCACCCCGACTGCCCTCACCCTGTTTGCTTTTCATAACTTTCATATACGGTTACGTGCTTGTGGATTCCCCAGCCCCACAGCCCTGAAGGCGAGGAGCACAACCCCACACGTGAGGATTAGCAGTGGTGGGGGGCCTGCGATTAACACACTTGCAGGCTATGAGGGACGCTGGGATGGCTTTGTGCAGCTGGAAGTCCCAGTGGGGAGGGGTAGAGCTGGGAAATGCCCCGTCCTTCTTCCCTGACAGACTAGCGGGCTTCAACCCTCAGCCTTTTGTCTAGCCTCCCAGTGGGCCGGCAGAGCCCAGAGCCCCTCGGTAAGGCCTTCCTGAGGAAGTGCTGGGGAGTGGCGGGGTGCAGACTGGAGGAGGGGAGACATGGGGAGCAGCGTGTGAGGCCAGGAGTGACTGGAGGAGCTGGGGAAGGTTGGGCAGTGCCAGGGGAGGCAGGGTGGGCAGTGCCGGTGGGCAGTTCCTGGGCCAGACAGGGTGGGCAGGGGCCGGGCGAGGTAGGGTGTGCAATGCCAGATGGGCAGTGCCTGAGGGAGGCAGGATGGCCAGTGCCCAGGTGTAGCAGGGTGTCCAGTGCCAGGAGAGGCAGGGTGGTCAGGGGCCAGGAGAGGCAGGGTGGGTAGGAGCCGGGCAAGGCCTGGTGGGTAGGGGCCGATCCACCCCATGCTTCCAGCCACTGTAAGGCTTTGGAGTTTACCCCGAGAGCAGCGGGAGCAGCGGGGCGCGGTGGGGGCTTCCCCCACCTTATTGTCGGTGAAGGGTAGGTAGGTGTTTGGAGAGCTGGATGGGACTGGAAGGACTTGGCGAGGATATAGGCTGGGACTTCTCCGCTGGCCTGAGCTCAGGGTGTCCTGTGGGCTGTGGGGTCCCTGAACCCCCTCGTCTCTGACCCAGCTCTGCTTCCTCGCAGCCATTCCAGTCAAGTTCTCGGAAAAGCAGCGGGCTTCTCATTACCTCTACGTGAGAGAGCACAGAGTCCGAGCAGGCACTCAGTCCACCTGGCCACAGAAGCGGACTCTTTTTGTCCTCAATGTGCCGCCGTACTGCTCAAAGGTGAGCCAGCCCAGGGAGGGGGCCCAGGGCTGCAGGGTCTCCAGGGTGGGTGCCCGAGGGCCACTCTGTGCTGCAGCAGAAATTGGCTTTTAAAATGTCTACATCTTTAACAGCAAAATTCTAAGGAGCAGATTTTTTTTTTTGAGAAGTGCTGCCAACCCAAAGGCACATGGTTCAAATCCACCAGCTTCTTTGTGAGAGAAAAATGGGCAGCCCCCCCCCAAGTGATTGAAAGCCCACTGGAGCCGTGAGCAGCTCCAGCTTGATCGCACCCCGCTGCACCAGCAGACTTTTGGGAGGGTCGGTCAGCTTTCAGTTAGTAGCAATGAGAGAATGAGCTTTTTATGTATGTATGTTATTCATTCAAAAGTTTTAAAAATACATATTTGAATTACATAGTTTTGTTGTGATATTTGCCCTTGATATTTAAAAACTAAAAATGGGAGCAGTAGAAGAGGGTATTAATAGACCCTAACTCTACAATCCAGGCATGTCTGTTTAATTTTTTTTGCAAAACTACCTCTCTAGTGGCCTAGTGTTAAGAAACTGTGCTGCAGTCCCACAGACATGGGGTTCAAATCCACCATCTGCTCCACAGGAGAAGGATGGGCAGTGTCCCCCTGGATTTACTGCTTCTGAAAACCCCCTGGAGGGTCAGCTGTGGTTGGTTCTGACTCGAAGGCACATAACAACATTGTAAAATTATTAATACATTTGCCAAAGAAAAATTAAAGGAAGAGAATTACTGGATTTTAAATCCTTTTGACCCAAAAGGTTAACTTCTAACTTCTAAAAGGCTTCCTCTGAAGTTAGACGTGTTAAAGCAGGGTGACTGTCCCCCTCTGGTAAGGAGTGCCTTGAGGAGGCGAGCACGATCGTGGCTCACGCATTGATCAGAGACCCTGCTCTCAGCACCCCAAGAAAGACCAGAACCCGCTCCCCTCCCCAGCCAAGGGTGACTCTCCTTATTCTAACAGAAGCCATGTAATACATTTTATCATTAATCTTTGTTGCTGATAAAATATATATATATAGAGAGAGAGAGCGCCAGCCACAGACATCAGTTAAACAGGTCTACCTATACAACCTGGTAACACTGACTGCACTCTGAACGTTGTACAGAAATTCTCTTAGACCTTTTCTGAAGTTTTCTTCCCTCAGTAACAAAGTCATTGTCTGTTGCTGTTTTCATTTTAACCCTGTGTAAAACTACCTGCTTGAGCGTTTATTACAACTCGTAACAACCCTGTAAGACAGAAGCAGTATTGCACCTCCGGACCTCCGAGGCTGTAAACCTTTACAGAAGAAACTGCCTCCTCTTTCTCCCTGGAGTGACTGGGAATTCAGACACTAGGCCTTTGGTTAGCAGCCCAGCGCTTAATCCACTGTGCTGCTCAAGGCAGACATTCATTACTAGTTAAACTGTTCTTTGGATTATAGGCAATCTCAGAGGATATTTTTGGTTTAAAGTTTAAACATCTCATTGCCATGGTTTTAGAAGGTCTGGATTACAAGAATACTTGAAATTTTGTTCCACATGTTCCCCCTTTTGATTAAAATTTTTTTTTTCATTTCCATTCATTCATTGTTTGCACACTTTCCTCCCTGCCCACCCCTCTCCCCATTCCATTTTTCTCTTTGAACTGTTGATTAATATTTTATGGAATCTTTTTTTAAAAAAAATATTCATTAATGTTTTACTAATTTTACAGTTGGACTAATTTTTAAGTGACTGGTTTGAGTAGCAAAACCTATATGGTTGGCTCATAAAATCGTAAAGCCAGAAATGTCGTCAGCTAGTTTTAATGGTTGAAACAGAATCCTGCTCGAAGGGTCATTCTTTCAGAGAAATCTAGAAGGGATTAATCTTCCAATGAATGACCATTCAAAACGAGGAGTCTCCTTCTGTAACCACCTAGACACTTGGTGGGCAGTTTGATTTTTGGTTTTTTTAATTATTTCTTTTGTATGTACCATCAAATCAGATCTGACTCGTACAGGAGGAGATTGTCCCTCCTCCAGCAGAGCATCTGGTGGATTTGAACCATGTACCTCTGGGATTGCAGTGCAGCTTCTTGCCACTAGGCCACCAGAGCTCCCTGGTGGGCAGTTTTTAACACAAAAGCTCACAAGGTTTTGATCTCTGGAGCTTTGGGAGGGCAGGAGAGTTGATCTCCCTGTGGTCCAGGAGGGAACCGGTGAGAGGAACTTGGCCCTGCCAGCCTTCCGTGGGCTGGGCGGCCATGGGCTCAGGTCCTCTGGGCAGTGGCTCACTCTGCCTCTTGGGAACAGGAGTGTCTGTCCCGCCTCCTCTCCCCCTGCGGCCCCATCAAGTCTGTGGAGTTACACGAGAAGCCGGACCTCGCCGAGAGCCCTAAAGAGCCCGAGTCGAAGTTCTTTCACCCCAAGCCCGTCCCGGTAAGCCCCCAGGTGCCGGGGTTCTGTGGGTGGGTGGAGAGCTCCTGCCCCCGTGTGCGGGGCGGGCTTTGTTGGGGGTCGGTGGGGTCTTCAGCGCACCCCTCTGTCATAGGTCATCTCACGATGGGTGTCACGGTGGGTGTGCGAGGAGCTGTCAGCTTGAACAGCCCTCCCTGTGCCGTATCTTCACTCCTGTCTGATGTCATGTTGTGACAGAATCCCCGCAGGGCTCCCCCCACACTCCCTGCTGACGTAGCTGCTTCTCACCCCGTGGCTGGGCCTCCTGGTTACCCTTGCCCCCAAGCCCACCTGCTGGCATCTGCAGGAGTGGGTGCCCCGCTGTCCGCTCTGGGCCCCTGGCTCCACGAAGCCTTGTCTCCCCCCTGCCTGGCTCAGATGGCATGTCCCTCCCGGAGGAAGGTCCCCGCGTACCTCACCGTCTCCCTGGGGGGATGTGGGGATGGGCATTTCTGGCAGAAACCGAGTGGCTGGGGAGGTCTGGTGGCCTGTGGTCAGAGCTGTACTGCCAGCCCAGGGGAGCCGTCCACGGGAGAAGGTCACAACCTCCTGTGTGATTTTCTGCTGCTGCAGACCCGCGGGAGGGTCAGCTGTGGTCACTTCTGACGCGGTCCACAGCGGGAGCAGGCCTGTCCTTCCCCTGTGGTTAGCACCAGCCCTGCACCGCCCCGGGCCCAGCACTGCTGCAGGTGAGGGCAGGAGCAGGGCCAAGCCAGCAGGGAGGGCGGGGAGGGACGGGGTGCCCCACACGCTCTGTGGCTCTCTCCCCAGGGGTTCCAGGTGGCCTACGTGGTGTTCCAGAAGCCCAGCGGCGTGTCGGCTGCCTTGGCCTTGAAGGGTCCTCTGCTGGTCTCCACAGAGAGTCACCCCGTGAGGACTGGAGTGAACAGTCAGTATGGCTGAGGGCCTCGCCTCCTGCCTGGGCCTGGGGTGGCGGGTGACGTGAGCAGGAGGGAGCCCCTGAGAATGCAGTGACCGGTGTCCACTTCGTGGAGAGGGGTGGGGTGGGGGACACAGCAGGGGACATTCCCTCACACAGGTGGGGCCCATCCTCCCAACTCCAGAATCTCCACCTGAGCCCTAGCCGCTCCTGGGACCCTGCATGGGGAGGTCCCGACAGGCTCCAGGTGGGGCCTGAGCAAACCTGTCTCCTCCCTGCAGAGTGGATCAGCGAGTACACAGACTCAGTGCTGGACCCCGAGGCCCTGAGGGCTGAAGTGGACACGTTCATGGAGGCATACGACAAGAAGATCGCTGAGGTCAGGGCAGCCTTTGGCTCTGGGGGGTGCTGCCGGGTGTGGAGCTGGGGTGCGTCCTGCCCTTGGTCAGCCCACGGAGCTCCTTTCTCCCTGTGGAGTCCCGGACCACCTGGCCAGGCGACGTCAGTGTCGGGGAAAGCTGTGGTGGCAGCTCTTCCCCCACTGGTAACATGTGGGCGTCGTTTACTGTCCGCAGTATCACGTCTGTGATTTGGATGTGGTGCAAACCTTGTATTAACATCTGTACGAGGCCTCTCTGCTTGTCCAGAATGAAGGGGCCTGAGATGATGTGGGAGCCAGTCAGTGAGGGGTGAGCAGGCCTTACCTAGCCTCACCTGCAGACGGGGCTGAGCTCGGCACCCCACCCGCCGGCACCTCACCATGGCTACAGGAGGCTGTGTTTAAGAGTCCAGAATTACTAGGGGACATAAGCAGAAAGCTCGTAGCTGTAAGAAGCTGCCCTGCAATCCCAGTGGCACATGGTTCAAATCCATCAGCTTCTCCACCCGTGTAGTTAACTGCCTCTAAAAACCCAGTGGAGGCATCAACTGTGAGTCACTTCCAACTCGGTGGCACAGAACACCAACAGGAAGCGGCAAAAACCACGTATGAGATCGGACAGGCCAGAAAAGGGAACCTGCACTTAGGTGCAGGCAGAGACGCTGTGTGGGCTGAGGTGGATTCTTGTTGCAGGAGGTGGGAGGGCCTGGAAAGGGAGGTGTAGGGGTTCCCAGGCCTGCCGAGAGCCTGTCCCCAACAAGACCCCCATTCCTTGCAGGAGGAGGCCAAGGCCAAGGAGGAGGAGGGTGTCCCTGACAAGGAGGGCTGGGTGAAGGTGACACGCCGTGGCCGGCGGCCCGTGCTGCCCCGGACAGAGGCCGCCAGCCTGCGGGTGCTGGCGAGGGAGAAGCGGAAGCGAGCCCGCAAGGAGCTGCTCAACTTCTACGCCTGGCAGCACCGCGAGAGCAAGATGGAGCGTAAGCGTCCCCCTGCACCTGCCTGACCCGCGTGTGTGCTGCCCTCCAGGGGAGCCTCGGCCAGGGCCCCTTGACCGCTGACGTGCCTGACGTGCCCCTGGGTGGTGCTCCTGGCAGCTGCACGGTGCAGGCTGAAGTTGGGGTTACTTGGAGCCCACAGTGGCCACTCCAGGCCCCCGGGAAGGTTCTGACCTGCAGCTGCAGAGGGTGGCGCTCAGCTGCTCACTGTGGGAGCTGAGAGGGCTGCTGCCTGGCCGTGGGTGTGGACGTGTGTGCAGCCAGGGCCAGGGGTCTGTGAGGCCGTGTGCATGTTGTAAGTGAGCCAGGTGACGGGCTGGTATGTGTGAGAGCGTATGTGAGGCACGCGTGCTCGTGCAGCGGGGCGGCCTGTGTGTGTACACGTGTGAGGAGGTGTGCTGAGGGAGGTGGACGGTGGGTGGATGTTAGCGTACGTGTGGGGCAGCTGGACTGGTGTGCGTGTGAGATGGGTGCACTGGTGTGTGCATGGCAGGTGGAGTGCTCTGTGTGTGTGATAGGTGGACATGTGTGTGTGTGAGATAGGTACACTGGTGTGTGTGTGTGATAGGTAGACATGTGTGCGTGTGAGATAGGTACACTGGTGTGTGCGTGGTAGGTGGCCTGCAGGGGCTGTGAGGACCGTGGTATCACCCTTGTCCCCGGGCTCCTCTCCGGGGTGATGCGCCCAGGTTGCTGGTCCTCTGGGCCCAGAGCAGCCCTCGTTCCGGTGGGTTTTCTGTCCGATTCCACCTGCAATCTTGTTCTTTGACCTCATCCTTTCCCTAAAGCACGCCCAGGAGAAGGACTTGTCCCTGTTGGGGTGGGGCGGCTAGGGGCTGGCTGAACCCTCTTTAATGGGGGCAGCAGCACAGGGTCCACGTGGGCTGGGCCACCTGACCACCTTCTTCCCCCCAGATCTGGCGCAGCTGCGTAAGAAGTTCGAGGAGGACAAGCAAAGGATCGAGCTCATGAGGGCCCAGCGCAAGTTCCGCCCCTACTGAGCGTCCGTGTCCCTCCAGGTGGAGCTGCCCTGGCGGAGGCCTTGCCGAGCCGGAGTCCACACGGGCAGGCGGGGAGGCCTGGTGGTCCTGGCCCTGGGTGACCAGACCTGCCCATCATTGCTGGTCGGCCCAGGAAGTGCCCTCGCCACACAGCACAGCATCCCCGCAAGCTCGGATCCGAGGCTCCACCCAGGGGACAGCCCAGTAATGACAGCACAGACAGTGTGACACCAGTGCGTCTATTTCTCCAATGTCGGACAGTGGGAAACGGTGACCAAGTGGCCTGGCCCAGCCCCTCTGTCCTCTCACTGTTCCAACTCCCAGTTTATTGACCTGACAGCAGAACCTGTAGATCTGGCCCCGGCCTGCTCTGGCCTCTCCACAGCCTGGCCCTGCCCTGGTCCAGCGGGTGGGAGTCGGAGGCCGTGCTACGCACTGACCGAGGCCCCCTCGCTCTGTAGAAAGGTGCTGATGAGCTTCGCCACTTGATGGGGCTCAATCATGTGGACATAGTGGTTGCCAGGGACTTCCACGAACTGGTACTGCTGGGGAAGGGAGCAGGGTGAGGTGAGGGGGCCCAGGGCAGTGTGCTCGGCCCCCTACCCCATTCCAGGGCAGCTTGTAAGCTTGGGGTACACCTCATACCCTGGTATGCTCGCCCACACGCTGTTCACGGCCAGCAGAGGAAGGCTGATGGGGAGGACAGGGACAGGCAGGACCCACTACCCAAGGAATCTGGAGACCACAGAGCCTGCCCGTCCCTCAGAATGCTGAGTTCCAGGCTGGGAACGGCTGCGGGGGGAGGGGATGTGGACTCAGAGTTGGGTGGCCTGCACGCCAGCCCTGTCTTGAATGTGGGAAGATGGTGATTGTCACTTGTCGACATGGTGACCAGCCAGCCACAAATCATGTCTGTTCCCCCAGAATGCCAGACATCTAGAGGTCCCGTCATTGCTGGGTGCAATGGCCGTAAAGTGTCCCCAGGTACCCAGGCTAGTGGTGAAGTCAGCACCCCTCCAACTTAGAGATCCACCCACAGGGCCAAGGCTCCCGCAGCTGTGACCTTGGTGAGGGGTAGGTGCCCCTCTGGCCGAGTTATACTTGGTCCGGTGGACACAGAAGGACAATAAAACAGATCTTGCCAGCAGAGTTTCCGTTTCCTGTGCCCTGGCCTGACCCTGGTGCTGTGGGGATTTGGGGTACCCAGTGAGGGAGGCCTGCAGGGTCCTACTATTGGGGTATCGTGGCTTCACCTCTCGGAGGACAGACTGCAGTGTGCTGAGGACGAAAATCAGGGCTTCGTGGCTGCTGTCCGTCCTCCTGGGGTTCCTGTACCCCTGGCACGCTCTGGAGGAAGAGAGGAGCGAGTTGTGACTTTGTATCGCCCTGGGTGCCCAGGACCCTGAGAAAAGACCACTGACCCCTCGAGTTGAGGTTCACGCCTTCAGTCCAGTCCTCGTCTCAGTGGGGGCTCAGCATGGCCGAACCCCAGCGGCACCGGTCTAACCCCTTCATTGCCCGAGGGAGCTCTGGGAGTTGGGAGTGTCGGGAGCTGTGCTGTTGGGGAGACTTCCCAGGAAGGTGGGCAAACTCTTGTGTAATTTACCTCAGGAAACCCACCGGAGGGTCAGGGGTGAGGTGGGTCCAACTCTGGGACAGTGAAGGAGGTTGCAGATGGGAGGGGCTCCCCCGCCAACCCCCGGGGGCTGCAGGTGCTACAGCGGGAGAAACACGCTCAGGTGACTGTCGGCATGGGAGCAGCTGAGGCCCCATCTGGCAGGTGGTGATGGGTGCCACTGGGGCTGGAGGCCAGGGCTCTGGTTAATGCTGCCCTCGCGTCCCTTTCCCTCCCTCAGGCCTGTGCTGCAGAGGTGTGGCTGTGGGGAGACCGCGCCACACAGCCCACCCCGCACACCCCGTCCCCACACTCACTTGAGCAGCAGGACGCGGGCCTGTAGCTTCTGGATGTAGTGCAGGAACAGGTCCTTGCTGATGAAGTCCAAGCACAGCTCCGGCTGCAGAAAGCACCCAATGACCCCCCAGCAGCACCTTGGCCCCCTGAGCCTCTGAGGGGGTGTCTGGGTCCTGACAAGTCACCCCCACCGTCTCCACGGCAGGACCCAGCCCAGTGCCCCACCTCTCACCCGTTCAGCAAAGACCCTTAAATGTCGTGAGCCAGAAACGCTTTAGGGCCTGTGGTGGCAGCTGGACTGCATTTCCCAGCCTCCCTCAAGTGATGCGGCCAAGTGCAGCTGGCCTGGATATTAGGCTGAAGTGTGGCCCCTCTCTGCCCAGTTTCCCCACTGCAAGCTGCCCACTGTAGTGCTCCATGGGCCAGAACCCTGGGCCCTGCCAGAACTGCTGCCCCGCACTGGCTTTTTCCGTGAGGAAGAACTATATCCCATCTGCTCAAGGTGCAGCGTGGGCAGCTCGGCCTGGGTCTTGGCAGGGCCCCTTCTGAGCCCGCACAGCCTTGGTGATGCCCTCACTGCGATGGGATATTCCCAGGCTGCCTCTGACTGGCACAAACAGGTAAGTGCTCAGCTCTGATAGGCTGATGGTGGTCCATGCCTGAGTCACCCCATGGGGGGTGTTGACCTCAATACAGATTGTTGTTGTTATGTGCCGGCAAGTTGCTTGCGACTCATAGCGACCCTATGTACAACAGCCCTAAACTCTGCTCTGTCCTGTGCCAATCGCACTGTCTCTGACACTCCCATCCCAATTATCCCAGTCACTGAATCAATCCACCTCATAGAGGGCCTTCCTCTCCTGCGCCGTCCCTCCACCCTCCCAAGCATGATGTCGCTCTCTAAGGACTGGTCTCTCCTCACAACATGTCCAAAGTATATTAGACGGAGCCTCAGAATCCTTGCCTCCAAGGAGCTGCCCAGTTTGACCCTTTCCATAATGAATCTTTTCCTAGCAGTCCATGGTACCCTCAATACTCTTCTCCAGCACCACAGCTCAAAGGCATCAATTCTCCTTCTATCCTCCTTGGTCATTGTCCAACTCTGATGCATAACAAGTGATTGCAAAGACCATGACCTGTATCAGGCGCACATTAGTCTCCCGAGAGACACCATTGCTCTTCAATACTTTGGAGAGGTCCCTAACAGCAGACTTTCCCATGGCAATGCGCCTTTTAATTTCCTGGCTGCTGGTGCCAAGACTGTTGACTATGGAGCCAAGCAAACTAAAGCTGTGTACAATCTCAATCTCTTCACCATCCATCCTGATGCTGCCAGTTGGTCCAGTGGTGAGAATCTGTCTTCTTCTTTTTTTTTTTTTTTTTGAATCTTTGTCTTCTTGACATTGAGCCTCAATCCATATATTGTAAGCTGCAGTCCTTGACACTCTGCAGCAGGCGCTTCAGGTCTTCTTCAGTTTCAGCAAGCAGGGTTGTGTCATCCGCATAACGCAGATTGTTGATAAATCGTCCACCAATCTTGACCCCACATTTCTCCTCATAGAGCCCAGCCTCCCAGATAAGAGGTATGTGGTTCAAATCCACCAGATGCTCTGCTGGAGAAGGAGGGGCAATCTCCTCCTGTACCAGTCGGATCTGATTTGACGGTAGTCACACACAAAATAATAATAAAAAAAAACCCACGTGCAGTTTCTACATCACAATGAAAATTAAAACTCCCCTGAACACACGGCAGGTGGTCTGGGACAGCCTGGAGAGCCGGGTGCCCTCGCTGAGCTCCAGCTGCAACACCCCCTCCTGCTCGTCAGCTCCAGGGGCCTTGTGAGTAGGAGGGTTTATCACGAGCCCAGGCGTGTCGTGCAGCGTCTTCTGCAGAACATCCATGAAGCCCCCGAGGGGAGCGGGACCCCATAGAAGGGGGGTTACAGAGGAGGCATGAGGCTGGGGATGGCTGAGTGGGCCGGCCAGCAGCCAGCAGCCAGCAGAAGACAGCGGCAGAGAGCCAGCCCAGGCCTGAACTCACCTCCTCCATGGCCTGGTCTTAAACATACCACTGTTGATCTGATTTGAGATTGTGGCAAGCCCGTGGGACCTGCCCCGTGGGCTTCTGAGGCTGGGCCTCTGTACGGAAGCAGACGGCCCTCTTCTGCTCCCACCGCAGCCACAGGTGGGTTTAAATCGGCCAAGCATGTAACCAGAGCCTCAGCCTTCTTCTTGTTCTTCTTCTTTTTTTAAATTTTATTTTCTTTTGTGTGTGTGTACCATCAAATCAGATCTGACTGGTACAGGAGGAGATTGCCCTCCTTTTCCAGCACAGCATCTGGTGGATTTGAACCGCTCACCTCTGGGATTGCAGTGCAGCTTCTTGCCATTAGGCCACTAGAGCTCCTCGAGCCTCAGCCTTCTTTAGGGTCTGCTTTAGCCAAGACTGGGGTTGCTATTTCGGGACCTCAGTCAGGTCCTCAACTTAATTCCGTCAAGGCGATGATTAAGGACACTCCTCTGCAGTCTGGGTTTAGGCCCCTCAGAGACTGAGAACAATGCAGGATTGGGCTGTTCTGATCTGTGGTCCGTAGGGTCAAGATGGGTCAGAGCCCACCTGATGGCGCTGACCAGTTCACACCATCCACAGACATGAAAACAAGAGTCCGTGCAGGAGCAGCCGTTTCTTAAAAGGTGACAGACAACATCTGAAGACCTGTCTCCAGGAAAGACTTTGTGGCCGTACCTGCTGAGTGTGTCATCTTTCACTTTGTTATTTTTTTCTCCTGACCTTCTTTTCCTAATCCACCTTCACTCTGAGCCGTAATTTACCTTGTAATTAAGCTGTGACATGCAGCCAAGCCCACAGTCCAGTGTCAGCCCTCGATGGTCTTCAGCACACGGGTGCAGCCGTGACCACAGTGAAATCCGGAAGAGCCAGGACTTGGGGGGACCACCTTGCGTTTCCGTGTCTCACAGTTTTCCGCCTCTGACAGGGCCTTACCACGCTTGTGCCATTCATTTCAGTGAAAAGTCTTTGCCTTTTCTTCTCTCCCAGGTTGTGCCTTCCACCAGCTCCAGCTTTCAGAGGCTTTTCTCTATCGCCAGGCCAAGACTCAGGCCACACCAGCCCCCAGCGGCCTCCCTTGCCCAGCCCTTGGCCACGCTGTCGGTGGAGACTGTCACACTGCCAACTTCCCCCACAGACTGACTGCACCTCTTTCTTAAACTTCATAGAAATGAAATGACACAGTATGGCACCTTCTCAAGGGTGGTGGTGAGCATGACATGAACAAATGCATGCAATGTCCTAGGGGAGGGGAGTGGGGTGCCTTGGCCTGAGTGCCAGCTGTTCACCCTGGGGTCTGCATTCAGAGGAGGGTATGGTGCTGGTGTTGGTGTTATTGTCAGTGCTCCGTGTTGGTGTTCATGTTGGCATTGGGATTGAGGCTGGGCCTGGGGTTGGTTTTGGTGTTGATGTTAATGTCTATGCTAAGTGTTGGGTTTGGGGTTGATACTAATGCTCAATGTTGATGCTGGTTTTGGTGTTGATGTTAATGTCCGTGTTAAATACAGGTGTTCTGTTTTGATGCTGATGTTGGTGCATTTCTCCCAGGTAGAGAGCTAACCAGCGTATATCCCGTTCCCTCTGTGCAGCTTAGTTCGGGACACATCTTGGCTGGTAGGATCTGTTTGCCCCCAGCCCTTGTCATAAGGAGCCCAATGGTGTCAAAGCCCAGGCTCTGAAGGAACCCCAGGGACGGTAGAAGGAACCCCAGGAAGAGTGGCAGGAACCCCAGGGATGGTGGAAGGAACCCCAGAGATGGTGGAAGGAACCCCAGGGACGGTGGAAGGAACCCCAGGGATGGTGGAAGGAACCCCAGAGATGGTGGCACTCACCAGGGTGAGCCTTCGGTCTCTGTTCAGCATCACACCTGAAAACAAAGTGCAGAGACATGACCTCAAGCTGAGCACCACGTGTCACGACAGGGGGACGTGGCTCTGCCTGGGACCCAGCTCCTTCTGAAGCTCATTTCTTCTTTTAAGGAATATATTACTGTGTTTGAGGTAGACATTCACACAACAAGTTTGACTTTCATGTAATAATTTCTACACGTAGCCTGTTGGTGATGTTTTCAGTGAAACCACGTCTTCACTTGTCCTCGCTCGGCCTGGCGGTCCTGTTTCTGAGGCTCTCGTCTCCTTGCCTGTCCACCCTCAGGTTTTCACTTTAGAGTCATTATTGACCATTTGGTTTATAAAGATGAATTTTCAAAGGTGATCAAGAGATAGTCCTCTAGTCTTTACTGTTGTGGTTATGTGTTGTCGCGTCACCTGCGACTATAGTGACCCTACACACAGCAGCTCTGAAGCCTGCCCTGTCCTGAGCCAATGTCACTGACTCCAACACATCAACCCCCATTGCCCCAGTCATTGTGTCAATCCATCTCATTCAGGGTCCTCCTCTCCTGTGCTGTCCCTCCACACTTCTGAGAATGTTGTCCTTCTCCAACGACCAGTCCCTCCTGACCACATGCTCAAAGTAAGTGAGATGGAGCTTCAAAATCCTAGCCCTCAAGGACAGACTTGGTTTCACTCTAAGACAGACTTATTTGTTTTCTTGGCAATCCATAGTATGTTAAAGACTTCTCCAGCACCATAACTCAAAGGCATCAATTCTTCTTCTGTCATCTTTAGTTCTTATCCAGCTTTCTGATGCATAACAAGTAATTGCAAAGACCATGGCCTGGATCAGGTGCACCTTAGTATCTAGACCGACATTGTTGCTTCTCAGTACTCTGGAAAGGTCTGACAGCAGATTTACCTAATGCAATTTGTCTTTTGTTTTCCCGACTGCTGGTGCCAAGAGTGTTGTGGAGCCAAGCAAAATGTAACTGTTAATAACCTCATTCTCTCCTCCATCTATCCGGGTGCTGCCAGTTGGCCCAGTGGTGAGAATCTTTGTCTTCTTGGTGTTAAGCTTCAATCCATATTGAAGATTACAATCCTAGATATCTTAAAATTTGAGTTCTTTTACATATTTTTCTTCCATTCTATTAAGATCCATCTCTGATGGGAATCCCAGAACATCTAATCATGCTAATGCGAAACCTGTACTTGGACCAAGAGGCAGTCGTCAGAACAGAGCAAGGAAACACTGCATGGTTCAAAATTGGGAAGGCTGTACGCCAGGGATGTGTCCTATTTCCATACCTTTTCAACCTGTATGCAGAGCAGATTATCCGAGAGGCTGGGCTCTATGAGGAGATGCGTGGCGTTAGGATTGGTGGAAGATCTATCAACA